CACAACACACACACACACACACACACACACACACACACACACACACACACACACATATATATATATATATATATATATATATATATATATATATATATATATATGTTTATATATTTATAGTAAACGTTGTATCGAAGCTACAGGTGTCTCCAGAACACATTCATAGGCACACATAAAGGGTGCTGGAAACTAAACTTACACAAGCGCGTGGTTTCTGAACTACTTCCATCATAATACACGCCCGTAATGGCGGAAGTAGGAATGTTTCATAGACATAGTATCAGACTTGGACGTACCCATAAACAGTAGTGTGGTGAACAGCAGTAGCAGCACAATGCACACCGAGAGGAATGCGATGATGACCATAAACTGCCATGTGTTCACATTCTCAAGGATTTCCTGTCCGTCTGTGATCGCCGCGGGTAATCCTTCAATAGACTCGTACAGATCGAATGTGAACTGGAACAGTTCTTGTAGCACAGACCTCGATCCAGCTAAATCACCGGCGACTTGTCCCGGACACAGAGCTGTAGGATTTGAATAATAAGAGAACGGGTGTGTTCGTGTTTGAGGGCATGAATAGTGTACGCGTACAATGCTTCTAGATATCAGCACACGTGTAAGCGGTATATAGACAACTAGATACGGGGTCGTCAACATCGAATCAAACGACAAGAGCATTCAGCGCCACGGACAAGTTTATATGCGCAAGCCTGCCTTTCCCATCATAAAGGACGTTCAATACAGTACTATCACGCACCAGTGTACTACTAAAAGTGCATACGCCAATCACAAGAATGCTCAGTTCCAAACCTCAATCGTAAAGCACGAGAACTGATTATTCCCGTATTAGCAAGAAAAGACTGTTGACTCCTGGATTCATACCGCATTTTTTCAAAAAGGGATTACCTACAACATACCCTGAATCCGATCGATCCGCCCTTCAATCTCAGCTATAGACGTGTACGCTGTGAACGACATCTGCTCCACCTGTCCGAGGTATGCGTTGGTCTTGCCGACGGTTTCGTTGCTCTCTGTCACAGACCCCTTCAACATAATACTTCCATATATCGCCAGTCCTGTTACATGTTTGTTGTCAATTTGGTTGTAATGGGTTGATAGACTAGGTGTCGCAGCACGAACAGATAGAGAGCGGCAGTTTCAAAGCGATGTAATAGTGGTAAGAAGGAGTACTACTTACTACTCAAAGTCTGCGGCATATACTAGGCGTAGGCCATTAGCGTACCCCGAGTAGTGAGGTATCATTCGCCGTATACAGTTCGATGGAATCAATGGTGCAGACTACAGATGCACATAGTTTTAGCTACAGTGTACTAACCTTGCCAATAGATTCTTCATGAACTACATACCAGCACCGGCCAGACACAAGGCCAGAGTGACTACAAAGCATCCGGACATACACGTGGCCTGTTTTCGAGTTGTCGGGTAGCGTGATTTGCGATACGCACATTTGGGTGGGCAGGAACCGCACTGTACATAGACGGAGGAGCAAAGGGATAGTGTGTCAATGACGAGAAAAGGTGACTTAATCGAAGATTGGTTGGTTTATATCAATAGAGGCGGAACGGCGGTAGTCCAAATTTGAATGAACCTCAGTCTACTGAAACTATGTCTTACTGTCGATGAGTGAGGGTCTGGACAAGCATACAATCGATGGGAAAAAGCCATTCATTCAAACGGTGTTGTGTTTCAGTTGCTGAAACGCATTAAAAGAAATGTCGTATTAGATGAACACAAATATGGTGTTTGAAAGGTTACATGAGAGATGTCATCTGTGTTTTGTTACAGACATCATATACAGCTGCGATCGCCCGTATACATGTTAGCCATTTTGCTCTCAAGAAATAGACAATGAAAGTATGTGTTGGGTATTCTGTATATCTGGCTTGCGCAGTTGGTCGACAAGAGAATTCAGTACACCACTCTGCACTGGTGAAGCATCCCTAGTTACATTGCGCATGAGGCGGCAATGTTGCGTGGTATCACCTATTACTATACACACGAGGGTGACCTCGCTACATTTGTTTAAGCTATGAATGTTCACACGGCGATACGAGGAAACAACATTGAACATACGTGTCGACATACTCACGCGTAAACGTACCTATTGATATGTGTACATGGTAATAAATTTCAACTATTACAGTACTAGTTCCAGTCATAAAAATACCTTGAAGAAGATAAAGAGACTCAAGAGACCCAGAATCAACGCTATTAGAAGGAAAGGACCGAAAATCAGTACCAGCCCACCAACGTAGTCGCTGTTGAACCCGAACACGTCCGTTCCGTATAATCTCGGTGTGTTGTGGAGGTTGCTGAGATTAGAAAGTCAAACGATAGATTTAGCTGTACTCTCAACCTTAGAACCAGACAAGCATATCAACGCAGAAACGCAGCACCTACGTCTCATTCAAGTAGCTGTGTCTGACTCACATGAACTCCACACCACAACCCAACATATCACACAGGTTTAGGGAGTCTCAGCGTACTTACTCAGTATTGCTAGAACGCGCGTATTGCGGAATACTATACGACAAGATGTCGTCGATTATGTAGAACGGGGTGTACAAGCCAGCAAGCTTAGCCCAGTTTCGGAAAAAATTGGTGGTCTGGTTATTGACACTGAAAGAGCCACTAAACAGCGATTCAAAGGCCAGACCAGACCCGTCCGTCAGTGTGGGGGGTGTTTGCGGCGCTGTGATTGGCTCTTGCACCTGAATCGAATTCGTGCACGCAGTGACAGTGTCAAACAAGTGAGCACATAATTCTGACTGCTGTGGCAGGTGTAGACTCGTACCGCTTACAGAGGATCATGTATAAACGCAAGTAGCCGCAGAGAACAGCACGTATAAAAGTGTACAGTGTAAGTATAAAATGTAACGTCTTTATCCGTAGCGCGTTGCGACGCGGAGTACCGAAATATTCCCGGGTCGATACCTTGTCAATGCTATGCTAGGTGTAAGTGCTGGAGCACAACAACCACAATACAGAGCTTCTCATCTACGAGTTTAAAATGTAAAGTCATGCACACTCTACTGCGCTACGCGTAATCGTAGGCTGATACAACACAAGTGGGATATATATCATAAAGATTTTAAGAACTGCTCCTATCGACTAGTGCAGGCAGGTGGTAACTTTGCACAGACACCATTGAGACGTACAAAGTCCTCGACTGTGCAATTGACGGGGCCGTTGACTGGGTTGCACCGTGGTTTGAAGACCACGCTATATCCAGTCTGTATATCTGCGGGCACCTGAGCGGCAGCTGTGTAACGAAGAGATGTCGCGAAGAGAGTTGAGGGGAACAGATCAGGTTTACAGCAACAGAATAATACAAACCCCAGAAAGTATATATAATCCCACGGATAGATATATATGACACGCATGTATATGAATATATTCCAGCACTCGTACTGGGCTTATACAAAATAAATAATCAAATACATACACACATACATACACACACACACACACACACACACACACACACACACACACACACACACACACACACACACACACACAC